CCGCACCCATTAGGTGTGAATATACCCATCCCCTCCTCTCTCCTTCCCCTTCCCACCTGCCCGACACCCGATGAATGTTATTAGTATATGTGCACATAAGTGTTGATCAGTTAATACCAATTTGATGGTGAGTACATGTGGTGCTTGTTTTTCCATTCTTGTGATACTTAGTAGAATGGGCTCCAGCTCCATCCAGGACAATACAAGAGGTGCTAGATCACCATTGTTTTTTGTGGCTGAGTAGAACTCCATGGTGTACATATACCACATTTTATTAATTCATTCATGTATTGATAGGCACTTGGGTTGTTTCCATATCTTTGCAATTGTGAATTGTGCTGCTATAAACATTTGAGTGCAAGTGTCTTTTTTATAGAATGTCTTTTGTTCCCTTGGATAGATGCCCAGTAATGGGATCGATCAAATGGTAGTTCTACTTGTAGCTCTTTGAGGTATCTCCATATTACTTTACGCAGAGATTGTGCTAGTTCAGTCCCAACTCTCAACGTTTTTGATCCTATCTGAAACGGTGTCCGACTGAGAGAAGGATTGTCCGTGTAGCACAGATGGCTTTTTCTTCCCCACACCACTTCAGAGTAAGCCGCCCACCTGGTGCCCGTCCCCTGCTGGTCACTTGTGTGTCGGTTTCCTACAAACAGAGGCACTTTCCTATGTAATCACAGACACATTTGCACGTAGACTCTTTCAAATGTAGTTTAGACCTGTGTTCCTTGGCCTTTTCTTAAAGTTGTAGAAAATAACAACATTCAGAATTGTGTCTCAAAATTCAGAGAAGTGCCAGCAAGTGCTGTATACGTGGTTATTTTAGCCTTTGTTTATTTCTCATCCAGAAATCTTCCTCATTCTCTAATTGCTCCTGACTTTTAGTTCTGCTTTCCTTTCTGTGTCTTATATGAGGGTAGTTGGGGCCAAATCTTTAACAGCCCAAGAATACTTGGGGACTTCGGTTCTCGTAAAATGCGAACAAAGTAACACTGACAGGGAAAACATTGAACAGCAGTTTGTTCCGCAGCACAGCAGATGGAGCTGAACACGTCTCTGGAAACGTTGGATGGTGTGGAGATGCTCTCGGACATATTTAAATTAGCTCATCTTTTCCTGGGAACATTCCCTCCACTGTCACGTTTTTCCTTTTCCAGGATTTTTTGTATATTCTGCCGACGCAGATTCAGGCAGCCAGGGCGGGCAACGCCATCCACGCCATCCTGCTGTATAGACGCAAGCTGGACCGGGAGGAGATCAAACCAGTACGCATCAAACTGCTTTTTAAACGAACTCTGAAGCAGCTTCATTGAGGTGTAATTGCTCTACTACAAGTGCTTAAAGAGCACAGTTTGCTAACTTCCGACGTATCTCTAGCGATACACCCACGAAACCATCATCACCACTGTCGGGGCGGTGAATGCATCTGTCACCCTGAAAGTTCCCTCTGCCCCGTGTGACCTCTCCCTCTCACCCCTTCCCCCAACGCCCGGTCTGCTCTGACACCCCAGATTAGTTTGCAGTTTTCAAACCTTTATGTAAGTGGAATCACACATTATGCACTTTTTTTTTTGGTCTGGTTTCTTCCATCCAACGTGATTATTTTAACATTAATTCTCCCGTGTATCCTAAATAGGTACATGTCTGTTGTACTTTAGTTTTCTCATTTACCCTTCGAAAAGAAACCCTTGTTTTTGAAGGAAAGTAATACTGCTGGTGAGCTTCTCATGAGAAGTGAGGTATTTCTTCCTTAACTATCCCTTTTGTTTAAGTGCTAGCTCATAAATAATTGATTTACATGTGTCATTTGGGGTTTAGCTGTGCAGGAAGCTGTCGGCTGGTGTGGTTCAGTAAGTCTCCCCATGAACCAACCCAGGGAACAAGTGGGAAGGATCTAAGTCAAACCAGGCAACGTTTGCAGACAAGAAATCCAAAATTTACGTGTGTGCTCTTAAATTGCTCCTTTCTTTTCCCCTGTGGAATTTGAATTTGTTTGAAATATATTTTTGTTACAGATTCGTGTTTTGGAATC